GCTCCCGCCTTGTTCTGGTAAACACTGCCATCTAGTGACAGCCTTTTGAAGTGTCTGTTATTATAATTATTATTATCTTCTTTCAACACACCGGCCGTATCCCACCAAGGCGGGGTGGCCCAAAAGGAAAAACGAAAGTTTCTCCTTTTACATTTAGTAATATATACAGGAGAAGGGGTTACTAGCCTCTTGCTCCTGGCATTTTAGTTGCCTCTTACAGTACACATGGTTTGCGGAGGAAGAATTCTGTTCCACTTCCCCATGGAGGTAAGAGGAAATAAACAAGAACAAGAACTTGAAAGAAAATAGAAGAAAACCCAGAGGGGTGTGTATATAATATGCTTGTACATGTATGCGTAGTGTGACCTAAGTGTAAGTAGAAGTAGCAAGATGTACCTGAAATCTTGCATGTGTATGAGACACCAGCAATCCTACCATCGTGTAGAACAATTACAGGCTTTCGTTTTACACTCACTTGGCAGGACGGTAGTACCTCCCTGGGTGGTTGCTGTCTACCAACCTAATACCTTGATATTATTATTATTATTATTATTATTATTATTATTATTATTATTATTATTATTATTATTATTATTATTATTATTATTATTATTATTACAGTATAAATACATATGTAATTTGTAATTTTTTTAACACAAAAAATAGAAAATTTACTGTTATGCAGACTACTGCATTATTGTAATAATTGTATAAATAATGTCAACCCATTCATGACTGCATATTGGAATGGACAGTGACGTCATTTGTTTACTCTTAACATCGCCAAAGAATCAAACATTTCTCCTAATTTAAGCTCAATTTCAAGGTACTTTTCATTGTGAAACCAATCAAAATCATATGTATTTCTTTAAGGGGGCAGGCGGGCAATTTTCCGCGCGCGCTCACCGAAAAATCGAAAAAATATGGAAATTGAGTTATATATACTGAAAAATAGCTCAACTCTTTGGCAACACAATGGTACCAGAATGAATGTTCTACGACGTTTCTACAAGAAATTATAGTCATTTATATCAGGTATGGTGACGGCGATGTTGGTACCGAGTCTGCTCACGGCCTATATATTTTTTGGAGTTATTTTCTTGTTTTTTTATCGCCTTTTCTTGCATTATTCTTTCTAATATAATAACTGACTATTTGGCATCATAAAACAGTAGGTGGAGCTTATCGGCAGACTTAGTGACTACCGGGAACCAGACGGGAACGCTCAGCAGTGTTCCTGCTCCCGAGGTGCCAGCCAGGAATCACCCATTATTTCGCTTATATCAGCTTATATATCAACTCTACGGCTTATTTGTCTATCAGAATTGATCTAATATGATATAATAAACACTCTAAATAACATACAAACATGTTATATACTCTAGACTGAATAAAATAGGCCATAATATGGCCCAGAGATTATCGGGAATATTTCGATATAAAAGTGTAACTGGTCACCCTGTCGTCTCTGAGTAAGAGAAAACGGTGTTTAGAGGCTAACTGCACTAGAACATCAGTTTACTAAGAAATACACCCAAACAAACGCGATTTTCGCGAAAAAATTTTTTTTTTTTTTTTGAGACGGGGGCCGGCCGGCGTTCCCGGCCGATATCTCGGAAGTAACTTATTCACCTATAATTTGATGTGGGTCCTTTATTACTTAATTAAATGGAATAATATTCACAGATATTGTAGAATAATGATTTCTCTTATTTTGACCGTAGAATTTTTGGAAATATTCCAAATACTTCGGGAGTTATGTGGGAGTAAAGGGCAGATTTTTTTGCCATATTCCAGATACTAACAAACTTTATATTTTTTGTGAAATAACGATAAGGTATTTAGAGGGAAATCTTACGGTCCGAATTAGTATTAGCATTGTTCTCTCGGCACCAAGTGTCCAAACCACCTTACGTAGCCGCATATAAGAGTTACATCAACATCAAGGGCATTTTCAGTAAATCAGTCTTTTCTCAGTTGTTGTTTGAGGTATATTTTTTATAAATATTTTCAAGAAAGAGTGAGAACACTTTGTCTTGTGCACCAAAACTGGAGAAAATCGGACGGTAAATAAACGAGTTACGAAATTTGCCCTGTAGCCCCCTTAATATATCTTCCATTCTATCAAATGAGACCAAAAAGAGAATACAACCATAAAACCATACAAAAATACCGCTAAGGTGAGGCTAATTGCTGAGAAGTGAACTCCATTATTTATGGTCCGATTTCTTTCATTTTTGGTGTATGTTAAGAAGCATCTTTCCATCATACATTGCCAAAGTTTCAATAAGATAGTCCAACAAACAAATGAGATCCAATTCCCTAGATCAAGAGCAAGAGCCTCTCACCAGCATCAAGGAATCTTCCTTGAGGCCCACTCGCTAATGGAAATTTCGCTCGAGTGTGGAAGCAAAAAATCAACCGATCGATTGCTCATATTTGGAAAAACTCGCTCACTTGTGCTCACAAGTAGAGGTTCCACTGTACTTGAAGATGATGGAGATTCACTAGCATATGATTTTTTTCTTTGCCAAAGAAGCTGTCCAGTGTTGTCTGCTTTTGATGACTTTTCAAAATTTTAAGTGGTCAACAACATTGTCATTGAGCAGTTTGATGCTCCTATTCACAACAGTGATGTTGTGAATAGGAGCTCTACCAGGCTCTGTATTGAGCCCAATGGTAACACAGTTTGTTAATTTCTGCAGTGGAAATGTTGCCCTTACTGCTTCCATCCTCCTCTAAAGAAATTTTCTCAATCATTTCTTGCTGCTCTTTATGCAGGTCTTGAAGTTCTTCTGTGGTGAGCTCATTCTTGTGATCCTCCACCAACTTCTCTACATCCTCATTGTCCATTTCCAAACCCATGGACTAGCCCAGAGAAACAATATCCCTCACAACAGGCTTTGCCTCATAGCTTCAAAATTTCTGACTTACACACAGTCTGGCTGCAATTTCTTCCAGGCAGAGTTCATTGTTCTAAAAAAAAACCTACCCCCTGGGCTTTGTCTGTTATCCTTAGACGCTGGAGGATATTAAAATGGTTTTTCCAAAATTTCCTAAGGGTAAGCTCTGTTTCAGAGATCACTTCAAAACAACTTTTAAACAGTGCTTTTGTGTAAAGTTTCTTAAAACTGGAAATTATTTGCTGGCCCATGGGCTGAATAAAAAAGAGTGGTGTTAGAGGGCAAGATTTTTACTTTAATGAAGCTATGTTCATGCACCAAATTTTCCTCCAAGCCTGGAGGATGAACAGTAGCACTGTCCATTACCAGATGTGCCCTTAATGGTAAATTTTTTCTGCAGTGTACAGGTTGGCCATCACTAATCCGGCATCATTGGGACCTGTAGTGTGCCAGATTAGTGAGTTTGCAAGATTACAGAGTGGTTAGGTTAGAATACACTTAATTAACCTATCAATAGAGACTTTCTGCTACATCTTCCTCATTTTCATCACTGCTTTCTCCTCCACTGGCTTGCTGCTGTGGATTTACAACCATCTGCACAATTTCTGAGTCAGTATAATGATGAAATTTGAGTCAGTATAATGATGAAATTTGAAATTATGCTAGCTGAAATTAGTGCTGGATTACTGATGGAACCGGATAACTGATTGCCGGATTAGTGATGGCCGACCTGTACTGCTTCACACTTGGGATAAACACTTCATGTATCCACTCAGTGAAGAACTGCCTTGATACCCAAGCTTTACTATTAGCCCTCCACATTACACTAAGTTTACTTTTGATCGCAGTGGTAGACTAGCAACGGTTTAATTTTGCAGTCCCCACTAGCATTACCACAAAACAAGAATGTTATCCTGTCTTTCATAGGCTTGTGTCCTGGTAATGATTTATCTTCTTGTGTGATGTAGGTTCCCTTTGTCATTCTTTTTCAAATGAGGCCAGTTTCTTCACAATTAAAAACTTGCTGAGGAATAAATATTTCAGTGTCTACATAGGTTTTAAATTCCTAAACAAACTTTTGAGCCTCATCTCTGTTAGCACTGGCAGCCTCCCCATACCTTACCACACTATGAATCTCACTCCTCTTTGTAAACCTATCAAACCAGCCCCAACTTGCTTTAAATTCATCACTTTTAGCACTGTTTCCTGGGGTGTCTTGCCTAAGATCACTATAACTGCTTTGTTTTTTCACAAATTATTGTTTCAGAAACACTGTCACAGGCCAATTGTTTTTCTTTAATCCACTCTTAACAAAAGTTTTTCATTTCTTCAATTATCTACAACCTTTTTCACAGCAAAAATTTCTACTCCTTTTGCCTCATCAGCCCCTTTTATTGCCTCTTTATTTGTCAATATGGATGATATGGTGGATTTTACCATAGCATATTGAGTGGTCTGGTCCTGCACAGGTGTTCCACTCTTCCACTTTGCAGTGATTTCTTTTTTTACTTTAATTGTTATTCTCACTGCTTTCCTTTTAAGCTTGTTTGGATCACTACTCTTTTTTTGAGGCCATGATTGCTTATTTTTAATTAAAATACTTTAAAAACACAACAGAAAAACAAAGAAATACTGAAGAGTTTCACCGAGCTTGTACAAACGATGCTTAACAAATGAAAGCTGACAAGAGACTGAGCAAGTGATGCTTTGTTTTCATCAGACTTTGTCCAGATAAGAGTGTTTTGTTTAGGTCAAATATCAGGGCAACGTCTGAATACCAAGTAAAATTTTTCTCAAAAAAGTTGGGTGACTATCGAGTTGTACAAATATAGAGATGTATGAATATTGAGGCTCCATAGTGTTGGTTAATTAATAAAGGGGTGATGAAATTTGAGAATATCTTAGAACACAAAGTGTTACATGTAAGAGTAACCAAAGAATTGAACTATTGCACTTCACAGAGTTATGTAAACCTTAAACCTTTCCCAGTAGTTCTCTTTTTGATAACTATTCTATCCATTTGAGATTTTTCACATTGATTTATTATTATAAGTAATCTATAAATAAATCAGATACTGTATTTTATATTTTTTTCAGGTTCTAATATGGGTATGAACCCCCAGCTGCGTACACCGACTCCAACATCAATAATGGGAGGTCAGGGTGGTGTCGGTGCGCAAGGTCATATGACATCTCAACCTTCCTTATCTTCTCAAAGTGGCATAGGAGTGAACAATATAAATATTAGTGGCTCTGGAACTGTGTCTACAACTCTTGGTGGACGTGGTACTGTAGTTAGTGTTAGTGGAGTGTCAGTTTTGGCTTCATCCATGTCGACTACAACCACAAATACACTGCCATCATTTAAGTCCTCAATGGGTCTTAATGTCCTGGATCCTGTAAGCAGTAGTTTTCCAGATGGATCATTGCCTTCCATCACCACTTCCTTTCCGTCAGTCCTACAAAACCACAACGATGATTTTCTACGAGAGAGTGTTATTAATGATATATTAGAGGTATGTACAATTACAGTATTTTACTACTGTTATGAATGCAAGGAAACTGGATTCAGTAATCCTAAGTGAAATGAAATAAAAAAGTTGAAAGAATTTGACTGGGTAGGAGTGAAGGAGTTAGGTCATGTGTCTCATGAAATCATAATGACACAATTGCAAACAAACCATACCATGGGTGGGCTTAGAACCCGCGATCAGAGAGTCTCAGAACTCCAGACTGACACGTTAGCCACTGGGCCAGCTAGCTTCAATAAGATTCATCCAACTAAGTATATTTCTACACCATAGGAAGGTGACCACAAATGCAAGTTTTTACAGACGAATCTCCTGCTACTATGGCCGTGATGAACTCTAGCTCAAGTCCCCTCAAAGCCATCAACATGACTCACGAAATCGTAATGACACGATTGCAAACAAAACCACAGGTGGATGAATCTTACTGAAGCTAGCTGGCCTAGTGGCTATCGTGTTGGTCTGGTGTTTTGAGTCCAGCTAACCTGTTTCCCTGAATCCCTTCACAAAATATTACCCTGCTTACATTCCAATAGCTTGTCAGGTCCCAAAAACCATTCATCTCCATTCACTTCTATCTAATATGCTCATACACACTGGAAGTCCAAGCCCCTTGCCCACAAAACCTCCTTTACCACCTCCCTCCAACCTTATCGGGGACAACCCCTACCCTGCCTTCCTTTCCCTACGGATTTATATGCTCTCCCAGTCATCTACATTGTCCTATTCTCTCTAAATGACCAAACCACCTCATCAGCCCCTCTTCAGCCCTCTGACTAGTACTTTTAGTAATTCCACACCTAATAATTTTCTCGCTATGAATTCTCTGCATAATATTTACACCACACATTGCCCATAGACATGACATCTCCACTGCCTCCAGCTGCCTCCCCTCTGCAGTATTTAGAACCCATGCTTCACACTCATATAAGAGTGTTGGTACCACTATACTCTCGTACATTCCCTTCTTTGCCTCCATGGATAAAGTTCTTTGTCTCAACAGATACCTCAATGCACCACTCACCTTTTTTCTTCATCAGTTCTATGGATAACCTCATCCCTCATAAAACCATCTCCTGACAAGTCATCTCCCAAATATCTGAAAGCATTCACTTCTTCCATACTCCGTCCCTCCAATGTGATATCCAATTTTTCTTTATCTAAATCGTTTGATACCCCCCATCACCTTACTCTTATCTATGCTCACTGTCAACTTTCTACCTTTACACACCTTCCCAAACTCGTCCACTGACCTTTGCAACTTTTCTTTAGAATTCCCCAGAAGCACAGTATCATAAGCAAAAAGTATCTGCTGATTCCCATTTTATATTTGATTCCCCATAATTTAATCCCACCTCTCTTCCCCACACCCTAGTATTTGCTTCTTATACAACCTCATCTATAAATGTGTTAAACAACCATGGAGACATTACACATCCCTGTCTAAGACCCACTTTTACTGGGAAGTAATCTCAGTCTCTCCTACACACCCTAACCTGAGCTTCACTATCCTCATAAAAACTCTTTACATTATTTAGTAACTACCTGTTCCATACATTTGCAACATCTGCCACATTTCTCCCCTATCCACTCGATCATATACCTTTTCTAAATCCATAAATGCAATGAAAACTTCCCTATATTTATCTAAATACTGTTGTAATATATGCTTCAATGTAAACACCTGAGCTACAGATTCCTTACCCATTCTAAAGCCTACTTACTCATCTGCAATCCTGCTCTCTGTCTTATCTCTTAATTCTTTCAATAATAACTCTACACTTTACCTGGTATACTCATAACTTATTCCCCTATAATTCTTAGTCTCTTTTGCCCCCCTTCCCGTCATATAAAGGAATTATACACGCACTCTGCTAATCCCTAGGTACCTTCCCCTCTTTCATACATTTCTTCATTCTTTCAACACACTGACCATATCCCACCGAGGCGGGGTGGCCCAAAAGGAAAAACGAAAGTTTCTCCTTTTACATTTAGTAATACACCTACCATCCAACTTACGACCGAGTACAGTTTCAAGAAACCTGTCGTAAGTCGAAATGGTCGTAAGTCGAACTTTACTACTGAATATCAACAAAGCATTTTTGTAATGACTTTATTTTATTGTTTTATTTTGGTATTTCATGTTTTACTTTACTTTTTATGCTGTTAGTACTGTTTTTTTTACTGTATGGTTTAGGATAAACACTGTGTACAACACAAATAGTTGTTTATTTCCCAGAAATTTGGCATAAAAAACACTGTCGTAAGTGAGTGGTCGTAAGTCGAGCAGGTCGTAAGTCGGATGGTAGGAGAAGAGATTACTAGCCCCTTGCTCCCGGCATTTTAGTCGACTCTTACAACACGCATGGCTTACGGAGGAAGAATTCTGTTCCACTTCCCCATGGAGATCTTTTTTTCTTTCTTTCAACACACCGGCCGTATCCCACCGAGGCGGGGTGGCTCAAAAGGAAAAATGAAAGTTTCTCCTTTTACATTTAGTAATATATACAGGAGAAGGGGTTACTAGCCCCTTGCTCCCGGCATTTTCGTCGCCTCTTACAACACGCATGGCTTACGGAGGAAGAATTCTGCTCCACTTTCCCATGGAGGTAAGAGGAAATAAACAAGAATGAGAACTAGAAAGAAAATAGAAGAAAACTCAGAGGGGTGTGTATATATATGCTTGTACATGTATGCATAGTGTGACCTAAGTGTAAGTAAATGTAGCAAGATGTGCCTGAAATCTTGCATGTTCATGAGACAGAAAAAAGGACACCAGCAATCCTACCATCATGTAAAACAATTACAGGCTTTCGTTTTACACTCACTTGGCAGGACGGTAGTACCTCCCTGGGCAGTTGCTGTCTACCAACCTACTACCTAGGTTTCATACATTTATTAAACAAAAATACCAACCACTCCAACACCATATCTCGCCCCTGCTTTTAACATTTGTCATAATCCCATCAGTTCCAGCTGCTTTACCCCCTTTCATTCTAAGTAATGCCTCACGCTCCTCCCCCACACTCACATCTTGCTCTTCTTCACTCCGAAAGATGTTATACCTCCCTGGCCAGTACATGAAATTACTGTCTCCCTTTCTTCATCAACATTTAAAAGTTCCTCAGAATATTCCTGTCATCTACCCAATACCTCCAGCTCCCCATCTACTAACTCCTCCCCTCTGTTTTTAACTGACAAATCCATTCGTTCCCAAGGCTTTCTTAACTTGTTTATCTCACTCCAAAATTTGTTCTTATTCTCAGCAAAATTTCTTGACAATGCCTCTCCCACTCAATCATTTGCTCTCCTTGTGCCTTCTCTCACCACTCTCTTCACCTTTCTTTTACTCTCAATATACTCTGCCCTTCTTATATCACTTCTGCTGTGTAAAAACCTCTCATAAGCTACCTATTTCTCTATTATTGCAACCTTTACCTCATCATTCCACCAATCACTCCTCTTTCCTCCTGCACCCACCCTCCTATAGCCACAGACTTCTGTCGCACATTCTAATACTGAATTTTTTTAAACTATCCCATCCCTCTTCAACCTCCCACTACCCATAATTGCACTAGCCCATCTTTCTGCCAATAGTTGCTTATATCTTACCCTAACTTCCTCCTCCTTTAGTTTAAAACGTTTCACCTCTCTCTTACTTTTGCCATTTTCCTTTTGTCCCATTTACCTCTTACTCTTAACTGTAGCTACAACTAGACTATGATCCGATATATCCATTGCCCCTCTATAAACATGTATGGTACTTCTTGAAGCCTATCCAGGTTCCTTGCATTTTTTTGCCCTTGATTGTGCAAATGACAAAAAGCAGAGGATATAGAAGTACTGGTGGTAGTGTCAGAGACAGATGCAGGACCTTTTTATCATAAAAATAAATTGTAACAACCAGACTAATGCACAGTGTATATGTACTAGATCTTTTTTTCAACACACCGGCCATATTCCACCAAGGCAGGGCGGCCCAAAAAGAAAAACGAAAGTTTCTCTTTTAAATTTAGTAATTTATACGGGAGAAGGGGTTACTAGCCCCTTGCTCCCAGCATTTTAGTCGCCTCTTACAACATGCATGGCTTACGGAGGAAGAATTCTGTTCCACTTCCCCATGGAGATAAGAGGAAATAAACAAGAATAAGAACTAGAAAGAAAATAGAAGAAAACCCAGATGGGTGTGTATATATATGCTTGTACATGTATGTGTAGTGTGACCTAAGTGTAAGTAGAAGTAGCAAGACGTACATGCAAGATTTCAGGTACGTCTTGCTACTTCTACTTACACTTAGGTCACACTACACATACATGTACAAGCATATATATACACACCCATCTGGGTTTTCTTCTATTTTCTTTCTAGTTCTTATTCTTGTTTATTTCCTCTTATCTCCATGGGGAAGTGGAACAGAATTCTTCCTCCGTAAGCCATGCGTGTTGTAGGAGGCGACTAAAATGCCGGGAGCAAGGGGCTAGTAACCCCTTCTCCTGTACAAAATACTAAATTTAAAAAGAGAAACTTTGGTTTTTCTTTTTGGGCCACCCTACCTTGGTGGGATACGGCCGGTTTGTTGAAAGAAAAGAAAAAGAAGAACTAGAAAGAAAATAGAAGAATACTCAGAGGAGTGTGTATATATATGCTTGTATATGTATGTGTAGTGTGACCTAAGAGCAAGTAGAAGTAGCAAGATATACCTGAAATCTTGCATGTTTATGAGACAGACAAAAGACACCAGCAATCCTACCATCATGTAAAACAATTACAGGTTTTCGTTGTTCAGTCACTTGGCAGGATGGTAGTACCTCCCTGGGCGGTTGCTGTTTACCAACCTACTACCTAGGTATTTACTAGAAACAGGTATAAAAAGGCATCATGTGAGTAACCATTAGACATTTCATTTTCTAGTCAGTTCAGTTCTGATCAAGGTTCCAGGACCAAAATATTTTCTAACATGCTCTAGTGGTTACTCACATGTCTTTTC